CGCCGTCGAGCACCGACTTCCTGAACCTCATGCCCTCGTTGTCCAGTATTGACGCCTTTTTGAATCGCATGCCCTCCTCGTCCAGAATTGAGGCCTTTTTAAACCTCATGCCCTCGTTGTCCAGTATCGACGCCTTCTTGAATCGCATGCCCTCCTCGTCGAGTAGGGGGTCATTCTTGCGAAATCGCATACCTGTGTGCGCGGTTGGGTTGTGACCAAATAAATATATTATTAACGCAATGATTATACGTAATTATAATTATAATGACCAATACATGTAATTAAGCTAATAAAATATAGTCTTGACTTAGCTACGCTATTAACTATTAATCTAAATTAGCCTAATTGTTTTATATTGTCCACTATTTACAAAATTTTTATGTCGGTTAACACTAGTCATACCCTCGCCCTCGAGCACCGACTTGCGGAACCTCATGCCCTCGTTGTCCAGAATGGATGCCTTTTTGAAGCGCATTCCCTCGTTGTCCAGTATTGAGGCCTTTTTGAATCGCATGCCCTCATTGTCCAAAATGGACGCCTTTTTAAACCGCATGCCCTCGTCGTCCAATACGGAGGCCTTCTTGAAACGCATGCCCTCCTGATCCAGCATTTGGTCATTTTTGCGGAACCGCATGCCCTCCTCGTTCAACATACCAGGGTCCTTTTTGAAACGCATACCTGTGTGCAATTATTTTAATACAATATAATAAGGTGTAATTGTTTTGGTAGAATTGAATATAAGGCTATATATAAATAACTTGACGACGATTTAAGTAACTTTTGTTCGTATATCCATTATTTGACAACTAGGTGAATAGATAGTGTATTGATAAATTAAACTTACCCTCTTCATCGAGTATAGGATCCTTTTTGAATCGCATGCCCTCCCCCTCGAGTACAGACCGTTTGGACCGTGCGATCGGTGGTATGCTATGAGTTCGAGTGCGGCCGGTCTTATCGTAACGCGTTTTCACGCAATTGGTGTACATTTTGTATAATTCATGATTCGTTACGTTGTATTTGGCGCTCGTTTGTGAGACTATGAGTAATAATTAAATAAAATTTTATCATGAATAAGTTATTTATTTTGTTATTGTTGTTTTTTATATAAACTACTATAATAAAAACTATTTTTAATTTTTATAATAAAAATTAATTAACTTGTACTATCAATGATATAAGTGTTATTGTTTAATTTTAACAATAAATTTTACAATTTATTAAATAATTTTATTTAATTTTAGTGCAAATAAAATAATAATTTTTATTTTTAAATAAACATTAATTTTTTAATTAACTTAACAGATCTCTCTCTCTCTCTCTCTCTCTCTCTCTCTCTCTCTCGACATTATAAATAGACTTGAATGCAATATTTAAGGGCAATATTTTATATCCATAAATATAAGTTTTACGGCATTTAACTACAATTCAAATAACAAACAAAATATTTTGCGTTTATATCAAAAGTCTGTATAAGTCCATCAAATAAATCCAATGCCTAACAAAAAATACATCAAAATGTCATCAAATATTAATCTAATCAACAAATAAATTGGGTATAAGTGTTAGACTTTATATGAAATTATTCTTTCAATATATATAAGAGTATATATTAAGGAAAAATATGTTAAATATTTCTATACAGTGTACTCCCGATATTATAAAAATCTGTTGAGCAAATAAATAATGATATATAGTTGTATAACATACTGTATATGATTAAAAAAAATATACAGTAAATATTTTTCACCTTTACAATAAAAATAATCTGTAACTTATTATAGTTTATTAAATATTTGTTTAATTGCCTAGAAAATAAAATATAGTGAAAATGAATTTATATAGATGAAAAAAATATGTTTATAAATAGTGTAGTGAAACTTTTTTATATACAATTTTCTTGTAAAGTATATAAAGGTATTTGTCAAATAAATTAATTTTATGAATAAGACATAACATAACAGTCTTGTTAATGTACAGTAGCACATGGTTAAATTATAGTAGTGTATATTTATTACATGGTGACATTTCTCCGGCAAGTTAATTTATTTTTACTTAAACATTAAGCATGCTTGATTTTAGAATATTTTAATAATGATTCTAAAATTAAATTACAATTATGAATTTAAGTGAAAAATATTACGCTAACCCATTATAACTAACTTAATATCATAACAAACATCTATCTAATAGTAAATCCCACACAACCCTATCATAATTATTTGCGAATAAACAAACACTTAACTTATAATTTAGATAATTTTGCCAAATTTTGAGATAATTATTTTACATAGATTACAATATATACGACAATCTTGAACTACCACTCGGATGCGCGATTCAAGTGTTATTTTACCTTAACGTCAATTGATATTTTTTTATAAATTGATTTTTATCTTCATAATATCAAATATCATAAGTAAAGTAGCTTTTTTATATTAAAATAGTAATTAAATCATTGTATTATTAAGGAAATAATTTTGAGGGATAAATTTATTTAATTATATTATCATGCACTTTTTGTTATTATTTCGTTGCTAACTATTGTTACTTAATTATATTGAGTATACTTTATGTGTTTTGTGGGTAAAATTTATTGAGTGTTCACTTAATACTATATAAATTAATAACAATCTCTCTCTCTCTCTCTCTCTCTCTCAAAAGGTATAGTCAAACATAAAAATCTATGTAAGTTTTTATTGTTAAATACACTACTGTATATAAAATATTATACATCGCTATAATA